AGAGGTTATTATGCAACTTGTTTTGTCTCAGATTGAAACAAAAGGTTTGATTAGGATTATTTCCTGGTTGAAGATTTTCATATTGATGATTTGAATTTCAAACATCTGCATATCTTTTAAGTTCAATGAACAGTTATGCAGGTAGGCCTTAGGGCTCTTTTGAGACTTCAGTCATCCTTCATGACAGATACATTTGTTCACTAAGTGTCACTACATCACAAAAAGGCTACATGGCTACATATACTTGTCAGTACACAGATACTGAGTACAAGTTGTGTTTGCTGTTTCTTGCAGGTCATGAATTTGGTGAGGAGTGGAGCTGGCTGGCTGCGGACGAGGAAGTAGGGCAATATATACATGTGCACATACACGTATATGAGAATGCATATCTATTCAGACCTGTAATTCATGTCTTAGACTTTTTCACACAGCTATAGATCATTATTTGTTTTTCAATTCTCTATTTATGGTTTCATAATGACTGAGTCACCGTTAAAACAAATGAGTTTCAGCTCTAATGCTGCTACTGTCTGTAATATGTTTCTATTTAGATTATTTGTCAGGAGATTTTGTTATTATTGTCCCAGTCTGCTTTTAACTAATGCTGGGCTTACACCAAAAGATTTTCACAGTCACAGACTAAAAACTGAAAGGGTAGCATGAGGGTTCTTCCCGTTAGTCTCGTCCCACCCCTAGTCATGACATAACTTCTGTTGTGATTTGACACTATAATGAATAAAGACTGATTGATTGATTGCTATAGCTGTCAATTTTAGTCCTTGAGTTCATAGTTACGTGCTTTATTTGTTAACTGCTATCAAGGAATATGACTCTCCTTTGTAGTATGCATGAGAGGAGATGCTGCGAGATTTGTGCGAGACACTTCTATGTAGTGTCTGCTGATAATGTAGTGGGCTGGTCTGGACACAAAATGCCAGGGCTGAATTTTTGTCCCAGTCCACCCCTGCCTTCTGATGTTGTTGAATTCATCTCTAGTATTTTGTTTCTATTTTAGATTTTATTGTTCAATCACACAGTCATTGAGAGTTACTGTTGCTTGATCAAACTGGTGTTTATGTAGAGCAGGGCCAATGAGCAGCATCTCAGTTTTATCAGAATTTAGGAGCAGGAAATGATGTGACATGTATTTTAACACAGCAGGCAGCAGTCCTCTAATTTAATATAAAAAGAGGTAAAATGGTGCCCCGTGTGAGGCACAGTACTGGAGGCAATTATTCCTAATTGTGCAACATTAATATTTCAGCATATATTTTTGGAAAATTAAAAAAACCAAAAAAAAACATAAAAAAAAAAAAAAAAATTAAAAAAAAAAAAAAAAGGTCGTCCACGAATTGGAAGGTTGTTGGTTCGATGCCTGGCTCCTCCGTTGCATGTCAAAGTGTCCTTGAGCAAGATACTGAATGAGTTAGTTTCTGTTCGATGGGCTTTGACATCACTGTGTGAATGTGTGTGAAAAGGGCCGAATGTGGCTGTAGTGGAAAAAGTGCTTTGAGTGGTCAGAAGACTAGAAAGGCGCTACACAAGTACAGTCCATTAACCTATTAGTATTTACCAGCCCTTTAGCAGCTATTTCACCTATGGACGATACACTCTAGCTCTCAGGATCACACATTGGGTTCACTCCTGAGAACAAAGCATCAGTGTTAAATGTGAAAACTGATTCACAACACAAGAGGGCGCCTTCATCCTGCTAACCAGGGATGTAGTGGAGGTTAAAGCACCTCAACTCACTTTGTCAGCTCAGTGATCTCCTGCTCCAGCTTCTCCTGAAGCTCTTTGACTCGACTCACTTCAGTTTCCTGCTGGGATCTGACCTGCTGCTTCACATCGGAGCTTCTTTTCTGGATGAGACGGATCAGCTGAGTGAAGATCTTCTCACTGTCCTCCACTGCTTTATCAGCAGAGCGACTGATAGCCTCCACCTCACGCTCCTCTACAGCTACAAAGGGACCCATCTTTGGCCCAATCTTTCTGACTGAACATGCATTTTTGTTGTTTAGTTGAATATTTTGAATACAAATTGTTTGTGTGTCTTGAGGGGTTAGCCAGAACCAGCCTGGTTTGCCACTGTGGCAGCTACATTAGGACTCAGCTAACAGCAGCTACATTAGCAGTAAGAGTTAAGGTAGGTAGAGCAGCCGGAGGACGTCAGTGGGAAAACCAGACCATATTTCCTTCATAAAATATGATGCAGTTTCACCCAAATCACTGATGAAGTTGTGTTTCTGTACAGTAATCAGTGAGCTCTGGCCCTCCAGAAACAATCTGCTCCGGTAGAGTTTGCTCTCTTTTAGGAGAAAGAGTTTTCAGGCTTTACTGCATTCTACAAAAGTACATTTCTGGGAGAGGTAGGGTTTCTTATTGTGCATTACATAGTTCTTAAGAAGGATTGAAAATAATGCTTCATTTTTTGAAATTCATTATTCACTTTTGGTCAGTGGCGGACTGGTGGCCTGGCCGCCCAACTGGCCCGCTCGGCAATTGCAGATGGTCGATACCAAAGGCTCGGTTCGGGTTGCGCTTGATTTTGAAATAAACAATCCGTCGTGCGGCTCATTAGGGTATCTGCCTCGCTCAAGCTCACCACACACACACACACACACACACACACACACACACACAAAGACACACACCTCCTCCCTCACCTGTAGTTCTACATGCTTGGAAAATGGAGCGAGATGGACAGCCCAAGAGGAAAGGTGGAGCAGAGAGGGAGAGGCTTAAAAAGCTAAAAGCACTGACCACAGATCAGCGAAGTGCTGTAACATAACTGATGTTTGTCAGTAAGGGAGCAGGTCAGACATTAAACACTAGTGGAGACAACAGACACACAACCAGAGCCTATCCAGCACCACCAGCTTCATGAGGAGGTTAGTTCCACTTTGACTAATACAAACTGACTTAATAAAACTAATGTTTTAAGTTGTAACAAAGGATATTGCAAATTTTAGAATATTGTTAACTAACATAGACACAACATAATAAATGATATGAATACTGAAATCCTTGTATTATATTATTTCATTTAACCTTTACTTCACCAGGTAAAATCCCATTGAGATTAAGAACATATTTGTTGTTATATGAACATAACCAATGCTTATAAAAATGGTCAATTAGTGAATTTGAATAGATGGAAATGATGGGTGGCTTTTGGATTTTTCTTTACAAAGGTGGAGAAGGGAGCAGTGTGAGTGAGTGAACGTTGTAACCTTTTCTTTCTTTTTTTTTTACTCACTGTGACTATTGTATCATATTTTACATTTCTTTCTGTGTGTGTTTGAAGTTGCCTTGTTTAATGTTACAGAGAATAAACCTACACATCTGCAGTGCGCCACCTGTGTACCTCTCACTGTTGCTATGATACTATGGTTGACACAGTGGTCAAATTTATAACTAGTCTGGTACCTGTTACATTAAAAATAGGATTGGTCTCAAGTTTAGGTGGATTAAAAGTGTAGTAGTAAATGAAATAGAATAGAAATTTCAGTTTATGTGATTTGAGTACAGGTTATTGCAGCACAACAGAAACATTTATTTTGTAGGGGAAAGAAACAGAAAAAGCTGTGTGTGGGCGCATGTGGAGCCTTTGCTTTATTATTTTACACTCTTACATCGGTAGGCGCCCAACCTAACTCACTCTTGGTGTTTTGCGTTAATCGGGTGGTGGTGGCCTGGGATGGTACTAAATTCCCGGCCTGAATTATTGTCCCAGTCCGCCCCTGCTTTTGGTGATTAGAGTCATCTGGATACCCTTGCACTTCCTCTGACTAACCACAGGGTGGTGGTGTTTCTCTCTGATGTTTAATGTCAGCACCAGCAGCAAACACACAAATCCACCATATGATAAACTTTAGTTTCCAATCTGTCACACAGCCATGGTGGAAGAGCTTATTTATTGGTGTGACACCTATCTAACACCGTACAGAGACATGTAATGTCACACAGGTCTCGTCTGGTGAGACAGTTGCAATATGTTGAAAATGATCAAACTGTTCAGGTTTATAACATACATGATAGAAAAACCATCTCTTAATATGATATTAAATATATCATAAATGTACCTTTATTATTATTTTATGTTATTTATTGCTGACTCATAAGATTGTTTAAAATCCAGATCATGAAGAAATAAGACTTGTCAACAGAGGTCAAGGAGCCAGAAATCCCCTCCCCTAATGAGTAAAATAAACAATAAAAACAAAAAATTAGACATCATGAATTAATCACCAAGAGAGAAACATGTCTTGAAATAATATCTGTTCATTCAATTTGAAGAAACGATGATGGAACAGAAAAATACAAATATCTGATGGATAAAATGTCATATACTGACACAATGTTCAGTTTTCTGATAAGAAGGACAGAGGCCTCGTTAGAGTTTGAGAGAGTTGACAATCTTACAAATTGTTTTTTTCAGCAAAAAAGTTCATTAGTAGTTTTCTGATGATCCAATGTAATTTCTTATCAGTTGAGAAACTTGAGATATGTATTTCCCCTCTACTGACACTCTAGCATAATCTCCGTCATACCTCCTGCCCCTTCCCACAATCATTATGAAATCTCACTTTTTAATATTTAATGTGCAATGTGAAACCATCTTGAAACTGTCACCAATTCCTCATTTAATTTCACTTACTAGAGTGTGTAAGTTAAGATTGCAGAGAACAAAAAAGGAAAACAAAACTTAGAAACTAATGAAAAATCATTCCTATACATTTTTAGAAAACAATATTTAAGCAGAGAGTTTGAGGAGTTCATGAGTGTGTACAGCAGCAGATATGAATCTGTTCTCAGTGGTTATTAGGACTCATAAAAAACTGTTGACAGCGAATCAACACTTCCTTTCCTGCAGCAGACGGGCTGTGTGGGTTTCCTCTCTGCAGCCTCCTCACCGTTAGCTGCACTTTTTCACATTAATAACACAATGACAGTTACAACCATCGACTCTGGTTAAAGAATCATTCCAGGAACTTCAGTTTGATTTCAGCTCTCAGTACTCACTGTGAAAGTTGTCTTTAATTCAAACTGTTTTATTGATTCTGTAAAGGTGACAGTTTAATGACAGTTTCTCCAGCCTGACTCCAACTTGTAACATAATACAACATATTAGGACATGTGGGAAAGGATCATAGCCTGCATACATTAACATCATCAATACAAAGACAATTTCTAATTTATTTGTTCATTCTTAACATGTTACAAATTAGAATAGAAACTGATCAAGCTGCTGTATCATCATTTTATAGCAGTTGTAGCTTCAAAGCAGCTCGCTCTGCTGTTTGTCAGCAGTGTCGTCAGCGTAGAGTTTTACATCCACACTGACACAGTTATAAAAGGGCCTCAGCACTAAAGCCAGTGACACTGATTGTGTTTCTATTTTTTGCTATGAAGCCAAACTGAAATTCACAAATACAATACAAGAACAGAAAATAAGAACATAGAAAATATAAACAGTAAATATCTAGCAGACAGATAATGATTCAGCTTTTCTATGATTATACGAGTCACAATTAAAAGTGGAAATAAACTAGAGCTAAACTAAACTAAACTAACACTACAGTAGCAAAGAATTTACACTAACAACCTCAAATATATATGTGTATGTGTATGTATTTATATTTTCTGGAGTACTTTATTGAACCTGTTTTTTAAAAGATAGGTTTCCCAATGAACCACAAAAATAAAAAATACATCTAAATTGTTATTTCTGTCTGCTAATCAAAGTGATTAATGAGATGAATTGATGAGATTTGACGGAGAGAAAAGGAGAGCAGAAAACAGTCAGTCAGCATGTGTGCAGTTGGTGGACGGTCCCTTGTTTCTGAGGATCATCAGCAGAGAGAGTCCACAGCAGTACACCAGACTCTTCACTATCAGCACTGTGTACATCAGACAGAGCAGCTTCACCTGGCACTGAGACTGGAAGGACACTGACAGACAGACAGACAGACAGACAGACAGACAGACAGACAGACAGACAGACAGACAGACAGACAGACAGGTCAGTCTTCTCTCCACACTGTTTCAGTCTGTTCAACTGTGTAAATTTCATCAGTATAACTTAGACGTTTCCAGACGGGACAATCAGTTTTACATGAAGACAGGGGTCAGCTACAGTTTGAATGAAAGCTCAAAGGCCCTTATTAAATACAACAAGTCAGGGCCCCACCAAACTTTTACGGGTCCTAAATAAGATATGATTTTCTGTTTGATCCAAAACAAAAACTTGGAGCTAAAAGACACTAAAAAGCTCCGTAGAGCTGCAGAGTTGGTGATGAATATCTGTGAGTTCACAACTACCAAAGACACTTTCACTTTACACAGAGTCATTAGATTAATTCTTAATATAGAAATATTCATAGAGGAGCTTTAAGATATAGTCCCCAATGTTTTGGCAGAGAGGCAGCAGGTGATCTTACAGTCAGCTTGCTGCAGAGCTGGCAGGTCTGCTGGCTCTCTCTCTGGAGGACAGGAGGCTGCTGGAGCTGGAACCTCTGAAACAGAAAAGGAGTCAAAAAGAAATGTCAGTCCTCTGCTCCTCTGCTCTCTTTGACAGCGTCTCCACATGAAGCTGAATCACTGCTGAACACAGTCACCAAGCCTTCATTACCTTGTTCTGTTTGGGCCTCCACTGTGAACCCCTCGTGATGGACGGAGCAGCGGTATTTATATGTGCTGTTCTCTCGCTGAGGGATCAGCAAGATGGAGGTGGTGCGTCCCGACTCTCTGAGCTCCAGCTGCTCTCCCTCAGCAGAGGTCACGTCTTCCTCAGTACCATTGTCCTTTTGTCTTTTCCAGGAGAACCGGACCAGAGGAGGAAACATGTCTGAGGCCACACACAGCAGGGAGCTCTTCCCCTCCAGGTGGGCTCTGGATGCTGCTGGGTACACGCTCACCACGGGCTTCACTATCTGCTCATCTGAAGTTTGACAGCAGCAACAAGCAGCACAGACACACATTCACACAGTCAACAGCAGCTTACAGCACTGCACTGCATTCAGTCTGATCCTGGAAACTACATGGACTCTGATCACTAAACTACTCATCAATACAGCACAAAGTTCAATTCTTCAATCTGCCTTCAAGAAAAGAAAAAGTATTTTATATATTATGGTTAATGTTATTTTTTATAGCAAAGGACAAATTGATCTTAACATCAAACACAACAGCCGATGGATGATTACAATATATTAGATATATTATATATTTACCAATATTCTTCACTCTAACTGCCAGATATCTACGGATATGAGACTTTATTGATCCTTCATGGGAGAATAATTAATATAACATCATAAAATAAAATAAATCTGGAAATGTAGAAATCTTTAAATGTAAACTCAAAGTGAACTCTGTAGCTGGTTTTTAACTAGGAATGTTTTTTATTTATTATTTACCTCATTTTATTCTGTTATTTTATCAGATTTCCTTGTAAATTTCATTGTAAATGTATTTGATCAGTTTCTTTATTTTCTTTTAATCAATCTTATTGATTTCATTTGTCTTTATTTTTGCTTTCTTAATCTATTTGATCTAGTTTTTAGTATAGCTTTAAACACTATTTTTATATCTGTAAGATCTAATTAACTGTATTTTATTTTATTTATCTTTGTATTTTTTTGTAAAATCTGATTGAATACTTTTTGAAATTATAATAAGTTCAGTATCTGATACATATTTACTGCTATATACTATAAAATGTATTTTCTTTTACAAATTTGAAATTATGTTAAACATCATATAAAGTATTAAGGTTGAAATGTGTGTGTATGCTATAATATATCATCATTATAGAAATATATTAATGAATGTGCATCATCCACTAAAAGACAATACAATTGTCATTATATACATTTTACCAATTAATTACCTTTTAGTTTTTCCTACACAACATATTTTAAGTTAAATGCTTTTCAAACACATTTACTGATATACATTCAATAATATTTAATATATTATATAGTTTTATAAAACAAGAGATGGTTCTGAATTACTGAGATGATCAAATACTGTATATCTGTAACATTGCCAATATTGCACAATGATCACTGACATCATTAAAATATATGTTGAGGTGTATTTGTTATAATTAAATCCAGCAAGGTCGACTTATTTTGTGCTTTAGGATTTGGCCTTGTTGGTGCATTAATGAGTTGCACAAGGTTTAAGGAGTCACAGAGTTCTTTAAAACAATCTGCCAGCAGATACTAAAACATGTGTTTACTTTTACACTTTTGATATTATATTAAACATCATATACTATTTAGATTAAAAGTCTATCAAGATACAAATACATATTTATACATTATATATCAGTCATCTATATTCATCATATATAGAAATAGAAATATATAAATTGGTACGCATACATTCTCTTTATATCCAGTATCTGTTGGCCTTCAGCTATGAGTATATTTTCCTTTTAAAGACATTTGTACCATCATATAAAATACAATTAGCAAAATCTTACCAATAAAAACACTTTTTTCTTATACAACACATTTAAAGACACATACTGACACATATTTAATAATATTTAATATCATATATTATCTAGTTTCATTAAAACAGGAGATGGTTCTGAATTACTGAGATGATCAAATACTGTATATCTGTAACATTGCCAATATCATACTTTTTCTATATAAATCAGTTTGATCTCATGCAGAAATAAAGAATAACTTCAGTTGTGCAGTGAGATTTAAACATCTTTTCAGGAATTATGAACCTTTTTTATGTAACAATAGCTGCATGGCTGCAAGAATTCTCTACTAATTATGAAAAAACTAACATGTAAAGCCTGAAGCAGCAGAAACTCATTAAAAACACATTTTCAACTTGTTCAATAAAACAACTGAAGGAAAATGAAGGTTTATTCTTACCTGTTACATACAGTTTAGTTCCAGAGCCAAAGATGAGGTAGTAGTATCCTCCCACAGTGAGAGAGACTAATACAAAAACCTGTCTGCTGTTGAATGTCTCTTTAGACACACTAGCAGTGTTGCTCTATGGATGGTAATGTCTGTCCGTCCACTACTTTAGTCCACATGGATTGGACCTGGACCAAAGGATGGATGGATGGACAAATAAAATCTTGTACAGACATTCTTGGTCCTGGCTCCTGGAAGTTGCTCCATGTCCTCCCTGATTCATATTCTTCATATACGTTTACAGTCTACCTATACTATTCATTCTATTGTACATATTGTTGTTTTGGTCTATTCTGTACATACAACATTTATTGTATCTCATCCTGGAAGAGGGATCCCTCCTCTGTTGCTCTTCAAGGTACAAAGTAAGTTATTCTGTCAGTATACAACCAAGGTTGCACAATGAAAAGAAAGTAGCAGGTGGGCTGGTCCTGCCGTTCTGGCTGGGTGGATCGTCTCTTTAATCCAAACCCCACACTTCCTTTGCTGATGACTGCAGTCTATTTCTGTCAGAGGTAATACGTGTTTGAGCAATAAAGCTGAAAACAGATTGAACCTAAACAGAGAAGTTTGAAGGAGCTAGCCTACCGACCGCAGCATCTGAATGTGCAGCCGTTCCCAAAGCAGTAGAAATAATCAGGAGTTTTCCACCTTGATTTTTCACCTGTTAAAGGGTTTTTGTGGAGTTTCTCTTTATCTGAATGGAGGCTGTGAGGATAGAGGGTGTCGTATGCTGTACAGATTGTAAAGCCCCTTGAGGCCAGTTTGTGATTTGTGATATTGGTTCATTGGGTGAAGGGATGAGTCTTAAAGTGGAGATGAAACAGTCAAATATACATACATTATAATATATAAATGATAATAATAATCTAAGTCTCTTGCTCATTAGGAACAAGAATTGTACATTATGTGGATAAGAGGAGCTTCACTGAGTGAGCCTCTGAGAGAAACTCCGGTCAAATATACATACATTATAATATATAGATGATAATAATATATAAATGACCGTATAAAAGTAAGCCACTGTTAAGAAAAAGTATTTATTAATACCTCCATCATTGTTTTAGTCAAGCCTGCTGTCACAAGAATGATAGTTCATTAGGAACGCTAGCACTACCCTGTACTATACTGAAAAAAGTGATTCTGAGCATTTGTAAATAAATCTGTGAAATTAACAATAAAAATCTCAGTTTGTATCTTTACATGAAAATGTATTGTTTGAAATTAATATGCATTTGTTCAAAATACAATATATTGTGTGTGTTTTCATTTATGATCCCCCTCCATCTTCTCAAGTACAAACACTCAACAAACAATAATCCCGCCAACTGACACTTGCATTCTGGGAACCTTTTTCCAGAGGCTGAGTTTATGGTTGAGTCTGAACTTTAAGGTTAGAATACATTTTGCCAAGTAGCTGGTTAGATTAGATATTACTGTCGTTTCACTTTTCAGGATGTTGTTTGTGGTTTTTTCGTGTCCTGGCTCCAACAGTTTCCATAACTTTGTCGAGTCTTTTCAGTTTAATTTGAACATGAACGTTAGCACGTGGCTTTACTCGAGGCCTCCTGTATTTGGTCCGTCCTGCACGCGACTTCAAAACCTACCGGGAGCGTTTCAGCAGCGATCGTTTAGCCCGCCGCCACACTTTGTTTACTTGCTCAGATTTGGCCATTTTCCCGGTGTATGTTCTTCTAAACATGCTTCTACATGTGTGAATATGCTACGTAGTTAATAAGTTTCGCTTTTGTCTGTTTTTACAACCGGCAGTTTGCACGGGGTATTTTATTTAGAAAATCCGCTCAAGTCGGTCGGTGTAAAGGGACGCGTGCTGCTCGCGTCAAGCGTCAAAAATAGAAACTAGTTGATTGTAGTGTCATTTGAAGTGAACATTAGTATGTGGCTATAAGGAAAAACCACACTCCTGCTATGTTTAAGGCTTGGTTCGAAGAGCTAACGGGATCGCCAGAAATTAGACGGCGCCAGCCAGTTTCCAGTTTTCATAATGTTGCAGAAATAAAAAATCAACTTTGCAAATATTAATGTATGAACAGAAGAACTGTTATTTTGTTCAAGCAGTGGCCAGAAGTCATAGAAAGTAATGTGGAAACACTGCTGTCATATCAGACATTCAGCATCACATTCAGTGTCATGAAGAGTGTAACTGTTTTAAAGCAGGAAGATATATCTTGTGTTTTGTTTTAAATGTGTGTTTTTATGTAACTGCTGACATTTTTCTCCTTTTAAAGCTAATTTATTCTAACGACTGCTGATTAAGTAACAGCTGAATAAATATATAATGTTCTTCAGAAAGGATGTGAACGCATGCAAGAAACAGAAATAATCTGCAAAGAGATAAAATGAACATTAGATTAATGATACATGTGGAAGACGTAAGATAAAGATGTTTAGGTCAAAGCAAATCTGAAAAGTTGAGTTACTAGTTTTCATGCATTTTATTTTGGACATTTAATATAGTTTAGTTTTGGTTAATTGCCATGGTCAGTAACTAACTATGACGTATCTTTATCAGCTGTCTCTACAACTACGGATGAAGGTTTGTATATGCAAACACTGGTTAATGGTAGGCTGAACAGTGAGGACTTCCTTCTGTGTCAGAGGGAGCGATCACATGCCAAAATTAAGATGTAAAGAAAAACTTTGCTTACTTCATATTTACCTGATGAGGCTGCCACAATGAAAGCTATTCTTACCTGATTACCTGTGGAAAAAAGAAGCAGTATTCTTCTGGTGCAGCATCCCTTATCACTTAAATGTCGATTTCAGTGTAGTCTTTGGATTCATTTTCCTGTGTCTGTAATTCTTTTCTCTCTGTATCATTATGTTTCTACATCTCCATGTTTCTCTCTTGGTCTCTCTCAGATCGAGGAGGAATTCCACAGGATCACACTGAAGCCACTGCAGTCCACATTCCTGGGCAAGTTGGACCAATACACACCCAAGCTGTTGAGCCTGTACAGGAGGAAGGGTGGAGCAGTGGGAAGGAACTTGATGAGACCCTTGACATGTTAAATGAAGCATGTATTTACAACAGTGTAGTTAGTTTTATGTAGTTGCTTTCTGACGTCTGTAATCTCATATTTTATATTAATCTCATATTTCTCATATTAATGAGTAATCTCATTTCATATTTTTGTAGGTTGTGATCAGATGGGAATCTATTGGAATATGATTTTGCTTCGCTATATGATTATTAAAAACACTGTAGTGAACGAACAAGAAAGTAATGACCGATGTATAACCATTTATAGAATTATGTAGCTAACAGAACCAAATATATGATTTATATAAAGCTGCATTGCTTTATTGAATGAGCGAAAGATGATTTCTCCAACAATAGGTCTTAAATTGACTTAAAATTGCCTTAAATGGCATTTAATCGACCTCTGTGTACCTGTACACACCCTTGCTAAGCTACCACAACAATCTGATCCTCTGTTTGAAGGGGGAACAAAGAGTTATGCATCCTTCACATTACTATACTGTACAATAATACGTTTTATTCTATCTGGTGTATTTCACAGGTTTTCGATGACGACGATGCTGCAGCTGTCCAAGAAGCCATTACTACATTTGTCCTCGGCATCTTTGTGGTCAGCAATGCCAGGGATGGTCTCCCCAAGCAAGCTGGAATAGCCATCGAGGGAGCAGAAGTCCTTTTTGGTATCCCAGATGTGGCACATGCTTGCACCTATCTGATGGGCCTTATCTATGCCTTGGAACTAAGGTACCCTAATAAACTGAAATACACATTTGAGGTCTTTCAGAAGATCTTTCTAGAGCTGGAGGATGCAAACAAAAAAATGTCCTCCAAAGTCCATGATCTCAAGGTCTGTTTGCATGCTTAAAAGCCCCACAGATGGTGTTGGAGGTGTAGGATCTGAGTGAGCTCACTCTTATCAAGTTTTACAGTTAGTTTTACACTGCACATTCTGAGGTTCTCCCAATGCACTCTCTCACTACTCGGTTTATTCTATGATGCTGGACAATATTTAATTTGATTGAATTTGATGATGCTGGCGCATGCTTTATTTTGTTATGTATTGTGAATTCTATCTGTTCTCTGCACTTTAAATGGCACACATAATTCAGCTCCAGCTCAAGTAAAGCATTTAAAGTAACCTGAACTCTGTTTTTCATGTACTGCCACAAGAGGCAGAGAAACCATGCAGAACTGGAAATTTCTTTACTACATTTTTAAATTTTGAGAGCTGCTGGATTTTGGTTTGTTTTTTTGCCTTATCAATGTATCTGAATGTAGCTGTGAACTTGAATGTAGCTGTTTTAACAGCTAGGATTTCATTTTGTTATGGTGTTCTGACCTCTAAGAAAGACTGTCAGTGGGGTTCTGATAGCATGTCTTGTGCTGACGGCATTATCCCTTCAGTGTTCATGACTCTGTGGAATGGAGTTCATATTTTATTGTCTAAAGCTAAACAACTTCCAAGTCTTGTTTAGGGGTAAGATGCATAATTATACCTTGACTCATGTGGGTGTTGTTCATAGTATACAGTGTGATAAATCGATTTGTAGTTTGGTCCATACAATGCAAGAAAATGGTGAAAAATCAATCACTGTTTCCCAAATCCCAAGACGCAACCTAATATGTCTTGTTTTGTCCTGATCAACAGTCCACAATTTAAAACATTCACATCAGAGAATCTGGGATTTTTCTTCTTAAAAAAATTACAAATGGCCCGCATGATGAAATATAAGAATCTGCCAATCCACTGTATTTATTAGAAACCATATCACTGCTGTGGATTGTGTTTTTTAAATGACATACTTATTCCACTGTAAGTTGTGTCTAAGCAGAGAGACGAGCAGACACTGTGTGTCCCCAGCATAACCGCCCGAAGTACTAAGAGACTTGAACTGAGATTCTCTCTCAAAATGATAAACAGCAGACAATGCTCTAAACAACTCAAAGTGTTTCTGTGTAAATGTTACATGTTACACATACTGATAAACATTTCCATATGCTACTGGAATTCTGTGAGCCATTACAACTCTTTCACATTGTTATTTGATACATAACAATCTATCAAATGACTAAAAATATTGATTATAACCAAGCATTTCGTACCTCTGCCACAGTGAACAGTCCTGGTAAGATGATCTTGAACTTCGTCTCTGACGGCCTCCTGTATGCAAAGGTTCTGGCCATCTTCTTATCATTGTGTCTCTTCTTGATCTCAGATAACAATGCCATGGTCTCTGAACTGCAACCTTTACAGTGCTACATTCAAATCTGGAATAAACAACAACAAAGGGATATTAGGAAAGGAAACTTAACTCTGCCTGTTAACATACTACAGGCAAGTTCAACAGTGCTACCTTCACCTAATCAAGGAAGATGTTGCTTTTAAGAGAACTAGAGATTTACTAATAAATAAGCTATTCAGAATGAGAATTAACATCATCATCTCATTAATGTTCCTGAAACAAAAATACTCCTACCCAATACACAGTAGTTGAGTATCTAATTTTGATCCACTGTGATGACAACTGAGGTTGAAGAAGAGAGTTGAACTGTAACTGTGAACTTTTTCTGATTCTGCTTGAGTGGTAGGACAGACTTCCACTACAGTTCTCCTCTGCATATCCTGTGAGGAGAATGTTGGGTCCGGCCATGTGGTCGAACAAAGAGATTTTTTCAGGGGCCTTGTTGGAACCATAAAGCCAAAGAGACTCTCTCCTCCTTGCTTCTCGCTGAGATCACCGTCCGTTAAGGTACGACTCTTATAGCACTAGAGAGCACTCTCTTTATCTTTTTAAAACCCCTTTTTATTTTTTTCTAAAAGTGTTCCATCCGTCTTCAAACTCGCTGGACGAGCCAGACTGTTACACCTTTTCCCTCTTTTTTTAACGATTGTCAATTAATCCGGGATCCCGCAGAGACAGCAAGCAGCCGTTGTCTCTCTTTAACTACCTGCAGAAGGACCGATCGCTGATCGCTGTTTTCTTCACATAAGTCGACTTTGCTGATCCGGTACGCTGCCAGACGAGGGACCAGCCGCCGTTAGTCTGGGACCAGACCACGGCCTCCGCTATCCAGCTCGAGGACCAAGCTGAATCAGCATCCATTCAACGCAACGTAAGGGCATTTAATTCAAACGTCTGGGCAGAGACAGTTTAGTTGTGTTATTATTATTACTATTATTAGTATTATTTTGTGTAATCATCACCGTTATAAACTGTACCTTTATCCTCACATTACTGTATAACTACACACACACACACACACACACACACACACACCTATACACGTGTTTTGGGGACCAGATGACGGTACCCCAGCAATTAGACACGTATCATAAATCACACAGTCCATTTAAACTGACCGCCATGCTGGGAAGGCAGTGTAGCGTCATCAGTGAGACTTCGTCATCACTGTAACGTTACCTCCTCCTCCATCTAGGCCGTCACCTTGATACACACCTCCCCTCGCGTGGGTGTGTCTCGCCTACCTCTCCTGACCCCCCTCTCTCCCTCACACACACACGCACACACACACACACACGCACACACACACACACACACACACACACACACACACACACACACACTATATCCGGGCATTCCTGTTCACCAATCTTTGATTTCTTTAGTAGTGGTAATACCGATTATAATTATATGATAACAGTTAAATTGATGATTCATTGTTAAATAAACTGCATTATATTTTCAATAGTCGGTTTCTGTGGTCATTGTGTGGAGTGTTATTGTACAGTTTGCTGGTTGGCGGGTTCAGTGCTTCCATCCGCGCCTTCATATGTATGGTTTCCCCTTTGAGTTAAATATTTAGATATTAAAGTTAAAATAACCTACATGTAATTTTCAGACTGTAAATTGCAGATTTGATTGATTAGTCCCTGGTAACAGGGTGGTGCCCCGAGGAACATTCTGTAATTAATAATCAAAATATTAATTACGTAATTACCCAAATAATTAATTTTAATTATTACATTTTTGGAAATAGTGCAGGATGAAGCTTTAGCTTTCTGTTGAGCAAATATTTCATTTGATCATTTCTTTTTGAACACAGAGTCCCAGGGGGTGTAGAGAGATTCCTGCAGGCGCAACCCGGTCTCACTCCCAAGTGGTCAAATCCTGCAGCTCGGTCAGTGGCCCTCCGCTTCAAAATGTGACGCTGTAGGTATCCAGCAGCAGAACAAAGAGGAGGATCTGAATCTTTATCTCAAACATCTTCTTTGGAATTTGTTCTTCTATTATACAAAATGACTTTTACTTTTCATCTGTTTCTGTTTAGTTTGTACTTTTTATTGTTTTCTCTTGATTTGATTTCATCATTGTGCTTCTGTTTGTATCCTTTCTCCTCACTGTGTGGAACAACAATAAACCTGCTGAAATATCTGATCAAAATATCAATCAATAGAATATGAAATCAATCCTGACAGCAGGAAAGAAAATCAGTCCCTCAGTTCAGTATGTTTGTGACTCTGGCTGAGATGGAGGTGAAA